TTGAAATACAATATATAAAGAAAATAAAGAGCACAACGTTAAGGGATAAACAAAAAAGTAAATAAACATAATTTTGATATATATACATATATGTATTTTGTATGCTAAGATTGGTAGTGTCTGTTATTAGTAGATAAATATGACACTGAAATACATTCTTATTTTCTGAAGATAACGGACTGTCTCCGCATACATGAAAAATATAAATATTTTGCAACCTGTCGAGGATAATTTGAAACAAGTATACTTAGTAAATCCATATCTGACGATGCCGTTTGATTAAGACCAGTGTTTTCAAAAAGTTTTGAACGATATTCAGAGTACATAGGACAATGCAATAAAAAATGAATTTCGTCTTCTACATTATTTTTAGAGCAAAAGGTGCAAATTCGATCCTCAACAGGTTCCCCATGATATCTACCGGTTTCTATTCGTAGTGGTAAAATGCCACATCTAAATTGTGCTAAAATTGAACGTAAATATTTAGGCATATCAAGTACTACATAATTTTCCCTTCCAAAAGTTGTTTTAAAATAAACGTAAGTCCGCAATTTAGGAATGCTTAAAATCTCATTGCTCCAAAGGTTTGAATAATAATTGTGTATTTTTGATTGAACCATATTTATATTTACCATAAGCTTTGACTCAAAATAATAATCCAGCTCTAGTTGGTGTAATATTTCTTTCAAATCACTGCACCAGTTATTCCTACACTTATTGTAATCAACTTCAAAAACAATTCTTGTAATTCGATCATTGCTAAAGGATAAAACTCTATTCCAATATCTGATTACATTTATCCAACGTCTATACTGACTGGGAATCCATCCAGTGTCTCCATAAACCCCCAGTGTGGGAGCAAAGCGGTGTACCCCAATAAAATACCGAATCGCTCTATTTTGAATATTATCTATTGGTTGGAATTTTTTGAAACCCCAGACACTGGATGCATAATCTAAAACAGGTATTACACAAGAGTAAAATAGTTTTTCATAAGCATTAAACCTGAAATCTTTATTACTATGAATGGAAGATATAATTTTCCCAAGAGCACGTCCCCCTGCTTTAGCAAGATTTTCTGCATTTTTCATGAAATTACCAGTGTGCGTAAACGTTATACCTAAATACTTATAATTCTCAACTGTTTCTAACTTATTAAGTCCAATAGTGAATTCAAAATTGGTTGCTCTTGACCTTGTTTTATTGAAATGTACGCACTTAGATTTATTGGTGTTTATAAGAACTCTCCAACGTCTACACCAGCTATGTAGTTTATTTAACATATTTTGTAAATCTTCTGGAGACTTGGCTATTAAAGCAATGTCATCTGCGTATAATAAGATAGACAATTTTCGATCTACTAGTTCTATGCCCAAATTAAGCTTATTAATATCCTGTACCAGATCATTAATGAAAATTGAAAATAAGGTAGGTGATAAATTATCTCCTTGTTTAACACCAGTTTTGCACCTAAACCAATTTGTAATCTTATTATTAACTCTTACACAAGATTCTGAACTTTGGTAAATATTTTTTATCGAGTTGTAAATTTTACCATCTATATTATGTAACAAAAGTTTGTAGAGCATCATATCTCTATCGACAAAATCAAAACATTTTTGAAGGTCAATAAATGCAACATAGAGATTTTTATTGTTTTTAACTAAACTATTCAGTGTAAATAAATGATCTTCACACGATCTATCCTTTCTAAAACCATTTTGTTCATCTGCTAGAATGTCGTTATTCTCTAAATAACTCATAATTCTTTTATTCATAAAGGAACTGTACAGTTTACTAATACATGACAATAAGCTCACTCCGCGATAATTCATAGGAAGACTTTGTCTGAAGAAGGATCCTTAAGAATAGGACAGATTATTGCTTTCCTCCACACCGATGGGATCGTGCTTGCATCAAAAATATGTTGGAAAAGACGACATATTGCGTTAATAACAGCTGGATATTTCAAAACACTGTAAGGAATTTCGTCGAACCCACAAGCGGAATTAGATTTTGCACGCATCACTATATCAGATATTTCCTGAAAAGATACATCATAATTAATTTCTTCATTACACTGATAAAATTCTTCTTCCATCCGACTTTCTCTGATATATTTATCTGATTTTGATTGATTGTAGTGGTCGTTATCAAATTCTGTACTTCCACACCCGTTGTACAGATTTTCAAAATCAACTCTCCATCGTTCCAAGATTTCCCGTTCGTTAGATATAACATTTCCTTCATCATCCAAAACCTCCATTGGTATGGTGTGTTTATTTCTAGGGCCAAGATTTCGAATTTTATTCCAGAATTCATTTGGGTTTGTTGAGCTCATATCTTCAATAACATTAGCAAATGATTTCTTGTAGGTGCGTTCAGCGCGTCTAAGAGATTTATCAAATGTATCTCGTGCTTTGATATATTCCCGTCTAAGTGCAGATTTGACTTTTCTCTCTCCCTTATATCGTATGAATTTATTTTCTGCTTCCCGCGTAGCGTTCCATAGATCTGTTAATTGGTCAGTCCAGTATGGCTTGCTATGTTTAAAACGTTTATTATTATTACTTGGTTTAACTTTAGGGATCTTGGTTTCCATTTCATTATGAATTATTTCACATAGTTGTTCATAAATCTCGTCAATACTTTCCTGTGTTTTACGACTGTTTTCAATCAGATTAATTGTTGCTATCAGAGCAGACCTTCTCAATTCACTTGACATAAAATCATCTGGAATCCTATGAAATTGAAACCGATTTTGACAATGTTCAATTTTTGGGGTATCAGAAACTAAACAACAGTCGGAGATATTAAATTCACACATGATGACGGAATGATCAGGAAGTTTTGATTTTTCCCCTACAAAATTCAATAGTTCAAATTCCGCCACAATGTTCTGTATAGTTAATACCGTAAAGTTCTTGATTCGTCTAAATACATCTATTGGTACGCATATATAATCTACTACAGATTTGCCCTTCCTTGAAATACATGTGAAGTTATCATGTGGGAATCTACCATTCAATACACAAAAGTTTGCTTCATTAAGAAAGTCAATTAATTCATGCCCGTGTTGATTTACAGTGCTGTCTATAGCTGTTCGATTCGGAATATGATCAATGTCTTGAAGTGTGTCATTCAAATTGCCTATTCTAGAATTTAGGTCACCCATCACGAAAATAGCATCACTTTCACAATTTAGATAAACCTGTGTTAAAAGATGTGTATAGAAACCTTGAGCATCCCGTCCTCTGTTAGAATATTCGGGTGGTAAGTAGCATACAAACACAATGAATTCAAAATCAGAACGACAATTTTTCAGTTTTATTCCAAGGATACCATCAAATTTTCTGTCAATCACTATTATCTCAAATTGATCTATTAACCATTCCTTTATCAGTATTCCAACACCACCCGAAGATTTCGGTGCATTTACATGTATATCCTTTCTATTATAACCAAACCATCTATAACCTGGGATATCAATAATATTTCCTTCATTTAAATGTGTTTCACTAATGGCTATTATATCATAATTTAGTGCACAAATAATTTGATTTCTGAGTTCCCCATTTTCTTTAGTCCAACCACAGACATTTAAATGACCTAATTTTAGACTGTCAATAGGCCGGGAAAGTCCCTACAGGTGGTTATCGCGATTTTGATCTGGGAAGTCAGGTGGATTGTTTTGTTGTAGATTATGTGTTTTTTTCACGATTCTTCCATTGGATGTTATGCGAAATTGGTTGCCGTTTGGAATCTGATTCAAAATAGTTTTTGCGTTAAGCTCTATCAATCTCTCTGTGTGTGATTTTGAGGATCTAAGAAAGACCGATTTATATGCTTCGACATTCTGCAAATCCCGTTTCCTTCGTAGAACTTCTATTTTCTCATCAACTGAGCGGAAACTAATTTTGACTAGACCGGGTTTGCCGAAAACTCTGTTCTTTAGTCGTGCCGCCGCAACTACTTTTACAGAATCACTAAGGTGTCTTATCATATCGTTAGCAATCTCAAAAATGTTATCCTCTTCATTCTGCGTAACGTTATTGGCGATTATCGTGAGCTCAGGATCATAGAGTGTGTTTGTATGATTTTTCTTGTTTGTACTAATAACCAATTCTGGTTCGCATTCAGGGCGTTCTATATTCTCAACCCTTTGTATTCTTTCAATAAGTGTGTCAACAGACCGTGACAGCGAATCAATCTGTCCCTGGTGTCTCCCAAGTTCAAGGTCAAAATCTGATTTCATTGCTTTGAATTTGTCGTCAATGCTTGCCATAAACTCGTTTCGAAATTTATCTAGTTTGCTATCAAACGACGACCTGAGTTCTTTTTGACCTTTCTGAAGGCTGCTCAACGCGTCTGCTATAACAGTCATTTGATCAATTATTTTCGTTTCAAAATCTTTATCTTTATCATTCGGTTCTTCCTTCCCACCCGCCATTTTGAGCATTTTGTTAGGGGGCTTTTCAGTTTGCCCGTCTGACGAAAGTCTACGCCTTTCCCTTTCCGATACTTCTGACATTTTCTATTTCATGGACCACAAATATCACACAGGTTGTCAAAAAACACAGATTATACTCACTTTACAAATGTTTTTTCCACACAAAACTCCCGGGTTAAAAACCCTACCTGTCCATGTATATGACGCATAACATTCACATGTACATTTATACATGTTTTTACACATTAGTTTATACAAAATGCCATTCAAAAAGGATGGAATGTTTATCTAATAACACTAGATATATACATGAGCAATAATCCACCAGTTAAATAGACTGATGTTGTGAATAATGTGCACATCTAAAGTCTAACAAATAGTGTGTCCGCTGTTTCAAATTTACAATAACTGGTCATTAACAAAGTGCTTTTATGTAGTGATAGATTATATATATATATATATATATATATATATATATATATATATATATATATATATATATATATATATATATATATATATATATATATATATATATAATTAAGCATCTACACAAAACATAATGGACCAGGGCACAAAACTCTTATAACATCTTTTTCACTGCAAGTACAATTATTGTGATCACAATACATCCAACAAGGACAGCAATATAGCTCAGTATTACGGCAGGTTTGGCCCACTTCTTTGCCAAGACATATAAACCTTTCCTGTAAGTCCTAATAGCTTTCCAAGCATATTTATTGGCGAAAGCCCCGATAGGGAAAAAGAATAAGACACTGATATATGACAGGCACAGAATCTGGTTGAAGGTTTTCCAGGGACGTGGTGTCAAATCACTCTCTGGGACTTTTCTCACGAGGTGAGGCAATGTCATTGTGTGTGGGTTTTCTTTACTAGCTTCAATTTCATAGCTTGTAATTTTTTTATCTTTGCTTTTAGCAGCCTGGTTTTGATTTACAAGAGAGACGTCTATATGCTTTGGATCAGCTTGGCTAAACTGTGACTCAGTTTGAGATTCTTTTTCAGGTTCCTTCTCTTTAACCCGGAAAGCATTCTCCTCCGTGGAATCCATTATAACGTCACAAACCTCAACGATTTCACTGAAGTGAATCTGTTAATTAAACATGAAAATGACAAAATACTTTTGTCGATTTATATGTATAACATCTAAAAAAATGTTCTTTTTGAATTACAATTGAAGCTATGTGGATGCAGCCACTTATTCACTTAAGGTTCATAATTCAAAATAATAATATGGAATATAATGTTTATGAGAACTGAAGATCAATTTCTTTATTTTTCTCTTGCAAACTGGAGTAAATTTTCTATATTTCGTATGATTCAAAAACAAGACACCAACAAGGACTTCAATGTATTTCACATGCACTGTTTTAGGGTCTAAGCATCGTTTTTCAAGGGGGGGGGGGGGGGTTCAGACGAAAAATTAAAGAGAAGCAAAGTAGAAGTAGCTGAAAATAGTTTGATAAGAAAAAGAAAAGAAAGGGGAAAAAACTTAAAACTGTTCTATTTCGATAAACCTATTTCGCGGGGAGAGGCGTAAGTCCCGGTATAGGTTTACTCTCTCTCTTCTCTCTCAAATAAAAAATGAAGTGGGAGAGAGGGTTGCAACTGGTGTTGTAAAGTGGCTTTTCCCTTCTAGACACCCCCCTTGGAAATTTGGTATATAGAATTCTCCTCCCCTAAAAATGGCTATAAAGTAGATTTTCCCCCACGGAAAGATGGCTTAATAGTGGGATCCCTATTTTACAGCCAGATACCCCACGGAAAGATGACTTAATAGCGGGATCCCCCCTTTAACAGCCAGACTACCCCTAGGGAAAACGTGCACGTATATAGTAGACTTCCACCTTTTTCCATCACGGTTAAGGATGCGATTGCAAGGCGTCACGTGATCGAATCATGTGATGTTTAAAAAAAAGAAGATTTACGATAACAATTTCCGGAATAAGCAGCGTGATTATGATTACGCCCATGACAAAAGGTCTTCGAGACAATATTTTTAGAACATAAAAGAATTAAATAAAGATGTGACGTTGTAGAGTGTTGGTGAGCGTCGACGCAGATTTTTTTTTTTTAATCCACGTTTTGTTTTTCGTTTTGACACGTCTAGCTTTTGTCGTAATTCTGTGAACGCAGAAATCTATTTCATTAATAAATTTAATTTACACCTGGATCTTTATGTCCTCTAGTTTTAATTAAAATATTAGAATTTTAGTTGAGATCGGTTTCTTTACATCCTTGAATAGATATTAATTTCCTAGAAGCTTGACGGCGTGATTTCCTCAGTGATTAAAATCTATATAGGCCTAAATGAATGAACAGATAAACGAATGCGATTTTGATATATACGTGTATATAGACCAGTTTGGGGTTACATGCTGGACATGAACATATTTTTAAAAATATCGCAGAGGAAATTGTTTCCCTCTGTAAGATCTTCTCTAGCATTTTCAACACTTACATCGACTATGTAAACATTGATTCATATATAATTGCATATCGCATATATTGCGTAAACATTTGTTGGAAAATGTTTTTTGCACCATATTTGGTAAATAATTGAAACTCAACACACTTCTTCTGACAGAAAAGTTTCTTATTACAAGTTTTCACAAATATAGCAGGAAATGCACGTGTAAGAATGACAGACGAAATAAAGAGAGGTTAACTCTGACAATCGAGGTACTACAGAGGTATACCAGAGAGGGAAAATTATTTTGAGCAGATAATTTTTTTTAAAAAAAGTCAACTCGTCATGCCCAAGGGAATATAGTTGAAAAATGAATTTAATTTTTGAAAATTCACGAGGACATGAACAAAGAGACTTCAAGCCGGGAACCCCGTAAGCATGAAGCACAAACTTATAAATCAACGATTATTTTTTAACATTCTTTGTGCCGCGGGCCTATTTTGGGCCTATTTTCAAAAACTACGTTAAGTGCCATGGGCCTATTTTGGGCCTACTGTTAACTCATTACGTCACAGGTAAAGCTGATTATGACGTTCCGTCATCATTCTGAGCTTCGCGCCATTTTTGCCTCTTGTTAAAGAAAACAATCAATCATTTTACCATTCTATTACTGAAAAATTATCTGAAAGAAAAGGAATTTTAAACGGGTATTTCATTTGTCTTGATCTTTAGAAAATGTGAACAATGCATTCTGATTTGAAATTAAGCAATTTTATCAATATTTTCAATTCTTGTCTGAACGACACAAGCAATCAAAGTTCAAATGGTAGATAAAAAATATTTATCTTAAACACGAGAATAATTTACCATCACCTACAAGAACTTAGTGTTTTGATCATGGAAATACTAGTAATGCAGTATCATATTGTAATTTTTGTAAATATTTTTTTATCTTAAATCGGCATTATATAGTATACAGTTTAACAATGTAACATTTAAGCCTTGAAGAGCCTTTTGACCGACTTCAAAAAGTTTTAACCTCAGGAGCACAACAAAGAGTTTATATTCTACAGAGAAAGTTTTAACCTCAGGAGCATAACAAAGAGTTTATTTTATACAGAGAAAGTTTTAACCTCAGGAGCATAACAAAGAGTTTATTTTATACAGATAAATGCAGTTTACAACAGATTACATGTCACAGATGTCTGTAGATTCCTTATTTTACTCGAGTACTTAATAACGCGAAATGGCCCAATAACGTGAGATCGCGAGAACAATAATTCACGAATGGGTGATTTATCTAGAGATTTTACATAAATTAAAGCACCACAAAAATAAATGCGAGTAGTTTTATTTCGCGAGTGGTGCTATTCGCTAATTACGCGATAATTTATTCCCCGCGTATATTTAGGAATCTACAGTAATCAAAGAAATTCGGCAAAGATACAAGGAACTTTACAGATAAACCTTCAATTCTGGAATACATGTAGTCAGTGCATAACATTGCCAATTGCCGGAGAAGACTGCTTGAGAATTACGGCTCTTATTTCTGCAAGAAACGACTGTGACATTGAACCTCTGCATGTTTATATGTTCCCATCCAATTAATTCCATCAATTCTGTTTGTTCAAATGACCAATACAGGTTTCTTTTAGGCAGGAATTTTTATTTACTGGCCGGGGGGGGGGGGGGGATTACTTTTGTGCATGCTTTTCGTGTCAGATTATAAAATTAATGCAAGAATTGTGGTATAGATTTTTACAATCAGAGGGTAGGCAAAATATCTTGTCGGTCGAAATTGGGGCAAGTACCACCCCATCCCCCCAGGCAAATACCCCTAATATCTTGATTTCCTCTCAACGTAACTTAAACTAGTAGAAATATATTACTTTATTTTCTAACAGCTATGCGTGGCATTTCTAATGAATTAGATATGTCAATTAACGTTTCCCTTTGCTCAAAAGTCCACAACCTCTCCGTTGTAATTTTGAGAAATCATAATATACTTAATATATATACAGTTGTAACCTTGTCCGTTATTTATCTACCATGTTATTTCAGTTGTAGGATCGCACATTAAGTGATGCCGATCGGCAACATGTTTAGCATGATCGTGTACTCTGTTTGAATAACATATGAAAACTTTTATACTTTTTCAGTTCAATTACTACTTACATGTACATGTACATGCACATTGTAAGTTACATGTTGACGGAATATTTAGTTTTAACAAATGAAATGTTTCTTATTTTTTTAAGGACCTTGAAGGTGTTTATATATCTAGCACCAAATTCAAAGCACAAGCACTTGTTTCTTTGATATTTTTTTTTAACCCATAGCATAAAAATAACATTATTACACTATGGGTCAAAAAATTATTACAGAAACAAATGCCTGTGATTCAAGTCATAAACACTGTAGGAAAATGTTGTAATAAAATCACAATAAAGGACAAAATAAGTTTTAATAAATCAAAGTCTTTTCATTTGATTGACTCAAACAATCCACAGATTGCATCCGAGTTGCCGTTCAAGGGTGGTAAGGACGAAGAAAACTTACTGTTGGAAGTAACGTACGTCTTAGTCGGTGTATATCAGATTATTTTTTATAACACGATTACAAAATGTGACAGGAAAAGATCAACGTATAAACGTTTGAACAAATATAAAATAATAATAATCCAAAACAATACAAGTGGTTCAGGGAAAGGCGTGAGTGTGCACAGGCCCGTATAACGCGCGGGGGGGGGGGGGGCACACTTTTTCCTGAGTAAAATTTTTTAATATTAAATCTTTATTTGATGCTGCCCCCACATACTTTTTTGCTGTAAGGTCAAGCACTGGCGAGTTCAATAGGTTTTTTTTAATGTGCACCAAAAAAAGTAAGAACCATCCCCCCCCCAACACACAGATAGAATTTCCATGTTTAAAAATACTTTCACTGGTACATGTAGATCCCTAAAACTTATTAAGTAGTTATTTATGAATCACTGTGTTTCAATTACACTGCATTTGTATACTTTTAACTTTACTCGTGTTGCGATCATTATATTATGCAGTATATACTTGATCCACGGGTACGTGACGTTACATATTGTTCTTATTTAAAAAAAATATAACCCCCTACCTAATCTACTAAAAAAAATATTTGAACATACATTTTGTTTGTTCTGTAAATGTATTTTTTTTTCGGAGAGGCCTGTCGTTGTAGAATTTGTTCTTTTATAATGTTTCTATTTTAACGATTTTCTGCAGAGGCGAAAAACCATTTATACCTAAGTTACCTACATTGTGACGTCACAGTTACGTTACATCATAGTTTCAACGTAATAGATAACTGTCACGGCACTGTACGTAATTTGAACTGGAAATATGTACGGCAGCAAAACAGTTTACACTATAGCTTTGACGTGGCATTATGACGTCACAATAGAGATATGTAGGCTTACCTAGTTCATGAGAAAATGAACTGTTTTCTAACTTGCAAAGAATTTGAAGGAAAAATATTTGCAAATGTAAATATTAAATAGCGAATCACTAAAATTTGTCAATTAAAGATAATAGCTTGGGTTTATATATTTATATTTCGCAGATACAAGTTCTCTGAAATAACCTATTCATTCAATGTATTCAAGTGACTACCCCCTTCCAAGTCACAGTGCAGAGAGATCTCGATA